AAGGTGTCCCTGCCCATGGCAGGGGGGTTGGAACTAGATGGTCTTTAAGGTCCCTTCCAACCGAAACCGTTCTATGATTTTCTATGATTTTTTCTGCCCAGGGGTGTCAGCTGCTCTGCGAGTCCCAAATGGGACTTTTCGCCTGAGTTGCAGTTAGTCACTTCCTCTCCACATAGTGTTACACAGCTTTGCTGTTAACCATCCATGATGCTTCCCTGTAGTCTCTCTTCTTGCTTAATTTTAACTAGGTATAAATGTTTAGGCAGCCTTTGCAATTGAAGAAATATTAACAGTTTACATTTGTAACTTGTGCTGTCAGGTGAGGTAATTTGGGGTATCAGTCAAGTTTTTCCTTCCTTCTCTCTTGCAGCAGGCCAGGAAGCTTAGACTGTATAAAAACATGAACTTTGGGAAACTATCAAATTGTGACTGAAATAGCTAAACCAGAAGTTTCAAACAATCAGCCAGGGAGAAAACTGGAGTGAATTTGGGGGCTGTGAGCCTAGGAAAGGAGAAGAGAAGGTGCATGGTGGAGGAGATGTGTAAGGACCAGCCTGTGTTTCACCTCTGTGGGTGCCCGGCAGCAGCAGCATGTGCACGCACTGCTCCAGAACGGTCACTCGGGCTTTCTGGCCCTTGGGTGCCTGTGGGGTGGCTCGGAGCGGGTGGAGTGAGGGATTGCTTGTTTGTGCTATGGCTTGTTAGAGGAGAAGTTGCGTTGGATTCGTGTCCTTTAGAAACTCCGTTTCTTGGTACTCTTAGGGAAAAGCCCAGATGTGAAATCAATGTGACACCTGGGTCTTGATCCTTTTGTGTCAGCGCATGGCTGCTCTGCTGTTCCGATTGCTCCTCGGTACTGTGCATAGGAAATAGGACAGTCAAATAGGATTTGACGTCTTCTTTGACTGAAGAAGTCAAAGCAGCGGCACCTTAATTCCAGCTCAGCAGCCTGTGTAAGCAGCTGTTTTTAAAATGATGATATGTATTATTGTTGCAGGCAGTTTAATTTCAGTTGAATTACCAATTGGCAGGATGCCCATAAGAAATGGGTGTCGGAATACAATTTCTGAGGGCTTCACTCCTGTGTTGGGATATGTCATGTTGTATCTGCCTACAAAGGGGACAGACAGGCTCTGGTGGAGCACACGTCAGGAGATTTCACTGCCCATGGGAGACGCGTGGCATTGGAGGTTTCTTCTCTCAAGGAAAGAGAGTCTAAGTGGTGTGGCTTTAATGTTATGTTTTGTTTACTTAACCACTCAGTTTTCTGTTCATTGAGCTTTTCACTTGTGTGCTGACTGTCCGGTTAGAGCCTCCACTGATGGTCAGCTCTGGGCCACTTCACAGCGTATGGCCAGGAGTCATCTTCTATTTATCACCTCATTTTTTTAACCCTCTTCTTACTGCCCCTCTCTCTGTATGTCTCAGTGCAGGGATGAAAATAACTTCTGGAAAATTTTTCCACCAGTTAATAAATGATAATTTGTGTTTGCTTTGTAGGCCGAATTCACCAAGCTATGGTAACATCCCTAAATGAAGATAATGAAAGTGTAACTGTTGAATGGATTGAAAATGGAGATACTAAAGGCAAAGAGGTAAACTTAATTATTTTAGAACTTTTCTCTTTTAAAAAATGTTATCTACATGAATATTACTTTGGAATTCGCACTGAAAACAAAAAGAAGTTATAAATCTTAATTTACTTGATGAATCTTTGGTTACATACTGTTTTGCATGGGAGCTGTTGTGAAAGTGGTAGTTTCTCTTGTATTAAATTTAACTTCCTGAGCTCTATCTCATAGCTTTTAAATAGTTCTTTTCATCTATTGATTTTGTACCAGATTACAAAGGCTGACCTTGTTATCCTCTATCTGCAAGTAGAAAAAAATATCAAATTTTTGAGAGAGAGAATGACTTGCAGTTCAGACAGGAAACCAGTGGGAGAGCTAGATTAGAAATCTTTTTGTGTTTGTGTTATTAAGGAGTTGAACTGCCAGTTTGTTTGCTTATTTATTTATTTTTGGCAATAATTTTCCAGCCTTGCTTTCCTTGAGAAGCTGTGTGTTTGTGTGTAATATGTCGCTATCTCCTCTTCCTTTAAATTTTGGACCATGTTGGCCAGTTTCAGCTGAGATTTGGAGAAGCATCTCAGAAATAATTACACTTCACCAGTTTTGTGAAAACACAGGAAAAAGAAGAAAAAGGTTGTGAGAAAGTCTGGGTGATCTCATCAGCTGATCTCATGCCTGTGGACACACAGAACCCATACAGAAGTGAGGTCTTTGAAAGATCCAGCCAGGGGAAATGGCGGTCTATAGAGACCAAAGCTATTTAAGATTGTTAGGAAACCAAGTTTCAGTAGCTCTGAAGCCATCTATTTTTAAGATCCTGCCCTTCCCCTGTCATATTTTACAGCGTTTTGAATGAGGAATGATTAAAAAAAGTTAGTGTGATAAAGTTAACATGCTTTCAGCTGTGCTTTTATTTTTTGGGTGGTTGTAATTTGTCTTTCTTTCGCACTGTCTGTGAAATTTCAAATAATTGGGACCTCTTTATGTTGCAGAATGTCTTTCATGTTTTCCAATAATTGTCACATTACCACAGGGATACTAGCTACTTCTGTTTAATCACTTCACAAAATTACCAATATCTGTTGGTGATTTTTAATTCATCCCGTCTCTGAAGGGTGTGTCTTCAACTAATACAAAGACCTAAGCTTATGCTGTGTTTAGTGAACATAAACAAGATAATTCAGGTTTTAGAATTAACAAATTGTGGGGTAAAACCACAAAATGTGTTTACTGTTTATTCTCAAACGTAACAGGAGAAATGGAGTGGATTAATATTGTTTCAAGACTCATAAAAGCATTTTATATTCTTTTACACAGATTGACTTGGAGAGCATATTTTCACTTAACCCAGATCTTGCACCTGATGAGGATATTGAACCTAGTCCAGAGGCACTACCACCACCTACTACATCAGCCAAAGTAAACAAAATTGTGAAGGTTGGTCATATCTGTGCAACATGAACATATTAGACATACAGTACTCCTAGACACGTTGTTATCCTTGAGTTTTTAAATTTAACGTTTGCCTCTGTGGACCTATTTGATAACTGTGTACTCTTCTTGCTATGGTGAATAGGGGTTTCTAAAAATTTTTTAAGAAGAGGTTTGGCAGAGATGAAGTTGGGAACTAATAATTTATATAAATAAATATATCTGAAGTGAAAACATAGAAAAGGTTTTGAAAGTTTTCTTGAAAAAATATGTGTAATTCACGCAGTCTTCACCCAAGGCTATTCGGGGGAAGAATTTGGCAGCAATCACCTCTCTGTACTGCTGATGTGTTATCTTTACTCACTGGAAAGAAGCAGAGGTGCGGCTGGAGTTCATGGTTTCAATAATATGATGATCGAATAACAGAGATTTCTTTCTTTATAGAGTCGACGAACTGTGTCATCTGTTAAGAATGACACCCCTGCCAGAGAGAACAGAGGTAAATGTTATCTCTTTCCATTTCAAGAAAATAAAGAGTAGGGGAACATTTTAGCCTCCTGCACATCCAACATTCCTTACTAGTTCTGCATTTCTTATTTGGTATGTATGCATGTGACATGTAAAAGGCATTCCTAGAATTATTCCTATGTATATTTAGGAGTCATACTATACGAAAAATAGTATTCATAGTATACTATGAATATGTCTGCAAGTACATGCTTCGTTCTATGCACATTATAAGTGTATACCAAATACAATTAATACCAAATGTATTAATAGACTTCCTACATGTATGGCTCCTCCTCACCCCAGGTAAATTGTTGTGCCTGGAAAAGGGGCCTTGTTTTATCTTCTCATAAAAAGCATTTCAGAATTGGGTAGAAATGTTACTCTTCTGTGTCCAGATGAGCTTTATGCTTTTCCTTTTTCCATACTTCATAGTATTTATGTGCAAGTTTAAGAAATATACCATTAGGAAAATTAAACTGAATGAACTGAAGGTGCAAAAATTTGAAGTTAATTAATTATGCTACATTAAATCACTTGTGGACTTTTCCAAATTAAAGAATCCTCAGTTTGCTTCAGCTAAATTGATTGTTTCAATATGCACTAAGTAGTACACTTAAAATTCTTACACTTCAAATTTTTTAACTTAGTTTTGTAACAGTCTGTGTGTAAACTTTCATTCAAAGAGTGTTTTAGCTCTGTGGGTTATTTCTCACTCTACAGCTCGTAGCAAAAAATCTACAAAAAACGCTGCAATACGACAGGAGGATAGTTGAAAAATTGTATTGGATGAATACAAATGTAACGCATCTGTAACATGAGAAATAATGGTTACTGCTTATTGTTTTAATGTTCTCTCCTGCATTAAACTTAACTAACCTGTACCAATGATGCTGATGATTCTTCTTCAAAACATTAATCTACTGTCATTAATTCAGATTAGATTCCAGTCCATCTGTTTAAACTTGAAAAGCAAGCGGGTTTGCGTATCTTTGCTAGTGTTCAGACTCTTCCAGTAGGTGATTGGGACCACTTTTGCCCTTCTGCCGTTTGCTTCTGGGTGTCTTTAATACAGCTAATATCTCACGAGGAGGGGATAATGTTTTTCAAACTAATACGGTTTAAATTTGAGACATCTTATTGATGGACTCTCCTCACATCCATACCTGTTGCTGATGGTAGCAAGTGGTCTGTTTTGTACTGAATAACCCTGCAACTTGTATTTTAATAGGTCCTATGCACCTTAATATTTACAGCTGGCCTAAGTATTTGTTCTTTGTTAGCCTTGTAATTAAACTTCTCCCAGCACACTGTCTTATTTTGTGTTGTCAATTTGCTATAAACTAGATCTCCTGTCATATTTGGAACGATCTAGGAATTTGCCTTCTCTGTCCCGTTCGATGCCTGTTTCCATAGTTGTCTCCATGTGGCACAGTGAGCTGGGCTTCGTGTGGGGAGTGTAATCTCTGGCTGCTAATCAGAGGTGATACCTCTGGCAGGCTGTTAGGAGCGTGTGCAGGAAATGGGCCAGCTGAGGCAGAGCGGTTTGAAGCAACTCTTTGAAAAAACGATGTAAAGCATTCGCTCTACCAAAGAGGCTTGCATGCTCACCACTCCCGCCGCGTGCCCTGGGAACAGGCATCACCGCATCTTCAGAAACTGGCATCCTTAGCATGTGTAGAATCAGTGCGGGAGAGACACCTGCGTTTATTTATGCAAGTTTAGGCATACGGATTTTATCTGTATCCCTTCCAGTATAGTGTCAAAAAGGTCTCTTTCTTCCACTCAGAGACTGAGCTGCACTTCGCTGCCTTTCATTTGTATCCCTGTGCTCCTCCAGAGGTTGTAGGCTCAATGGGGTGGGACCGTTTTTTAGTGTCTAGAGAATGTGAAACAGAGGCTTCTTTGCTTACTCATTTTTTGGGTATAATCACAATATAAATAAACCTAGATAAACTGCATATCTGCCAGTACATGCTTCATTCTATGCACATTGTAATTGGTACTAATCTGCAGTATTTAAACATAGGCACTTGCGGCATTGGTGCTTAGAGTTATGTTGTGTTGGTGTGTAACACAAGGATGACGTAAGGCTGCATACCCGTGTATTAATAGATTTCCTATGTGTATGGCTCCTCCTCACCCCAGGTAAATTGTGCCTGGAAAAGGGGCCTTCTTTTATCTCCTCATAAAAAGCGTTTCAGAACTGGGTAGAAATGTTCCTCTTCTGTGTCCAGATGAGCTTTATGCTTTTTCTTTACAGTGGTTGGTTCTGCACGTGCGCGACCTACTCAGCTTCCTGAGCAGTCTTCCTCCTCTCAACAGAATGGTAGTGTTTCAGATATATCTCCAGTTCAAGCTGCAAAAAAGGAATTTGGACCCCCTTGTATGTAAACCGTGTATCAAGGATTCATTCATTCTGGGCGTTACATGTACATTCTCTTGGATTATGTTGTTGTCCATAAATGACAAATGGTCTACACGCACAGTTGTCTGTGGGCTTCCTCAAGGAGCTTTTTTGGAGACCTGTGGCTAAACAGATGTCCACTTTTGTCATAGTTGTGCTGTACTTTGGAATTTGGTTTTCCCTTATGTTTTTGTTTGTTTGTTTGTTTTTACCATGGCAGTGTTAGTTTTTTGGTTTTGTTTTTTTTTTTTTTTTTTTTTTTTTTTTTTTTTAGTTTTAGTTTTTCTGGGCTTTCTTTTAATTCAAACCAAGAGATCGCATGTATATGTCCAAATATTTTTTGAGGGTCATTGTCCTTACGTTTTTGGTCGTGCAAGTATTATCCCATTCCCATTACTTTTTTCTAGTATATTTATTTAATTAATTTTAGAAATACAATTGCCATAATTATTCTGTGCTAATACTGATTTGTTTGAAAAGATAGTTGATATAAATGCCTTCTAAATATTGATAAATTAATGTAATTGAAATGTTACAGTGTAAATACTAAATTCATGCAACACTGAAAATATTTTAAAATCATATTATTTTCTTTAAGCACGTAGAAAATCCAATTGTGTAAAAGAGGTTGAAAAATTACAAGAGAAACGTGAAAAAAGAAGGTTACAGCAGCAGGAGCTTAGAGAAAAAAGAGCTCAGGTTGGTATTTTTAGCTTGGATAGAAAAGCATATGTCAGCAAGAGAAGACATTTGCAAAGTCATGGTGCCTTTTTCAGCCTTTAATAATTTTTATGAACTATAATTGTCCTGAAATGAAATGTTTTCATCCTGTGTACAAGTTTGTTAAATATTTTGGTGCTTGGTTGCATTGCTCTCATAGCTATTACTTTAGACAGTTTTCCCCCTCTTTTTTTTTTTCCTACAGAAGTAATTGCTGGCAGTTGCTTATCTTGCCACACATTCTTTGAAGATCAAGTAGTGATGATAGCTGGTTTTTAGGGAAGATATATTTTTGTAAATAATAAAACCTTTGGCTTTTAGATAGGTCTGTTATTCCACAGGAGGTATTACAACTTTATGATAAATTGTTCTTTATGGTCTTTGATTTGTACGAGATCTATTTGAGGTTCAAGTTCAGTGACTTTTTAAATTTCTTTTTCTTTAAACTGGTCTGTGCATTTATAAGTTAGCTTTGCATCATGGAAGCGGCTTGGCAGCAAGTTGTTAGAAACCTGTGCGAAAGAAATGAAGTTGCTAATCCTGTGAGAAAAATCTCTTAACATTAAATGACTTACTGTCACAGTGGTGTAAAAGCTTTAGTGAAACTGGTAGCGTAATCTTGTTGGCAGCCCTGTGTGTACGTGTTAGCCTCTGAAGCGATACTACCAGTCCACTACTGACATGAGAAGTACCAGTGCTAAGTAAATAATTCAGGCAATCTACTTCTACTGGTTTAATAATGTTTCTAAGTTGACCTAAAATCACCTAAGTTGAATTCATGTTTTCTAATTTCCATCCAGTTACACAAATGCAGAACATTACTGTCTCTTTATGTGTGAGGAACAAGCATTTTTTCCCTTTATATATTAAAATACTTTGACGTGGTACTACACCTAAAATTTTTGTTGCTCCTGTGAAGACTCCCTTTGCACCTGAGCCTTAAACACCTGTATGAGGAAGCTCTGTTTGTCTGGGTGACCTCTATGTACTTGTGCTTTGTGTTGCTCTGTGCATTCTATTGTTGTTGTGAAATGCAGCACTAATTCGCCAAGCACCGTCTTCTAGCAGGCAAGAGCTGTGAACGGGGTTTGAGGAATATTAGGCAAACACTTTTTCCATAATAAGCAATACTTGTTTCTGAATGCTAGA